GATGATATGTATTAAAATAGATCTTTCATTTCCTCTTACATGCTTCTAAAAATTCAGTAACCTCTTATCTCTTTGGACCCAAGGCTATCCCTCACTTGAGACCATCTTTGGGAAAGTGCTACATTAAATACAGCACACACAGTGAGATATCAATAACTCTTATAGAGGCAGAGCCCAGTCATTTACTATAGTGATTGCTATTGATTAGATGAACTGATTCTTGGCTTTCTTTAACATTGCTCACCTAAGTTGGGAAGTAATGTATGAAAGAATATAGCATAGAAAGCACATCTGGAGTGAACATGTTGCTTCCCAAAAGGTAAACGAGGAGGAGCATGGTTTCAGGGGTATCTAAGGAGTAAACTCTATTGGTAATATCGGTTCCCTGGTAAGATATTGTTTGGAACACTGACTTTGACAGTGCTTGTTATAGATTTCTCACGTCCTCCACCTGAGGAATGGAAAGTGACATTAACTCTTCTTGTACTTCTACCATTAGCAGTGCAATTCCTTTCTGTCCTTGAGACAGTCTCATGAGTGTGAGTCATAGCATTTCTTCAAATACCCCAACTATTAAACACTCATCACTACGCTAGAAAGTTGGAGCAGAACTTTGAAGTCCGTCCTTACAGCTTTTGCTTCACTACTTTCTTCAAAACAACGAGTGAGCTACCTAATCTTTCTGTTTTCTCATCTTTGACTTGTTTAATTCTCTTGTTTTAATGAATTGTTGCATTTAATATAAACCTGGATAAACAACATACATTTGAAAATTTCTATACTCTCACCATCAAACTCATTGCTAGGAAATGACTGTCAATCCATTCATAGCTGACATAGGTCTTTTCCTGTTAATTTCACCTCTGCTAGTCTTACTTTATAATTTTCAATAACTTGTTTCTCTTTAAAGGACAAAAAAATATAACAGGTGTTAGCTCCATCAGAACTTGTTTATTGAATATTCTTTCTTCAAATAACTTCGACATTGCCTAATTTGTTAACTTTCTTGCCTGTAATTATATTATGTTAAAATACTGACAGTACAGCAACTTTAAAAGACAGTTTGTCTCCTTGCCCACTTTCTTTTGTGACAGTCTTAAAAAAGTATCATGTTTCTGTGTGGCCAGTAGTAAACTCATTATATAGAACAGAGTGGACTTGAACTTGTGGCAATCTTCCTGCCTCTACCTCATGAGTGATGGGATTCTGGGCACGTGCTACCACGAAATTAATCAGTTTTATTGTAGAATACAAAAATTAGGCTCTTCGGACTTAGAACCAAACACATTGAGAACTCATGTCATCTGCAAACAAATTCTATAGAAGAATTTGTAGAAATTTAATTCACAGTTGTTAGAAGTGGAAGCAGCTGAAATGTCCTTCTGTAGGAGGCACATTTGTCCTTGTGCTCACAGAAAATCACTAGGAAAACCAGGAATGTTAAACACACAGGGTTGTCTCTTTGAAGGGAGACATGTATAACCTGCTTTCTACTCAGAAGGCTGGGAATAGATGTGGTTAATAGCCTGATGGCCTCTGTGTGGACAGGCTGCACCTGCTTCCCCAGACCCTTATCTGAATCTTGTCTGTCTCAATCTATAGCGATATCCTCTTCAGTACTGTTATCCTGAAATTATTTGTCTTGATCTCATTTCCTCTGTTCATCTATAGAACCTATCTTTATGGAGGATGCCACTTGAACTTTACAAAAGTTTTGATTTAGTCATGTCTTATACTATTTTTTTTATGCACATGGGATTGAGTTAATTGTCACAGAGAAACTTTTTTTGCAGATTGTGTTGTACTTAAATATGCTTAAAATTAACTTCTCAAGGTCAAACTCTCAAAGTTTGAACTAACTACACTTGCAGAGTTATGCTGAACCAAACTGCCTCCTTATCTCTCCTGGATCAACATTCCCTGGCTTGGGTGGTTGCAGAGACCCTCGAGTCTATCAGTGGACACAATGAGATCATGTTTGGTAATACAAGGAAATGAGCTATCATGCTGCTAAAAATGGGAGAAAATTTAAACACACACACACACATACACACACACACACACACACACACACACACGTGAAACAGCCTGTCTGAAAAAGCCACATATTGTGTGATATTCTGGGGACAGCAAAACTCTTCAGGGAGTAAAAAGATCAGTGGTTGCCAAGGGTGAGCAGAGGGAAGTAAAGGAAAATGGATAACCTGAGCATAGGACTATGTGACCAAATGAAACTATATTATGTGCTACTGTAATGATGGATGTGTGGCATTATTGGGCAAATACAGTCAGCACTACTACAAACTATAGATTTAGTTAATAATGTACCAATATTAGTGAATAAATAATAAAGATTATACCACAATAATGTACAATGTTACTATAATAGAAAAAACTTGGGGTAGAGGACAAAGGAACTTGGCGCTATCTGTTCATTTTTGCTTATTAGCGTGAAACTTCTCTAAGATATAAAGCTATCAACATTTTTAAATCTAGAAGGTTTATATAAATCTCTTTATGGCAGTGCTTAGAATTTCTAGGAGAAACTGTGTATGGACAGCCAAGTATGGGAATCTAAGGCTACTTTTGAATTCTGCTAATGGACACTATTTTGGTCTATGTGTTCTCTTTTTGGCAACATCCTTTCTGACCCCATACTAAAGTTGATGTCTCCTATAATTCCAAATCAAGCCCCTCTTTCATTTCCTATATATTAACCCAGATCTCATTTGTTGTCATGGTTTCAGTGACTTTCTATGTAAAACTAACCACAAAATTGTTCTTTCTACCATATTACCTCTTCCGAAGTCCACGGGCAGTTGTCTAGTTCTCCTCTGATGGTGATCATTGGGTCTCCAATAACGAACCAAGAGTAGCTCATTAATGCCCACATACACACACGTGCAAACACAAACATCCTCCTCTTGGTCTACTCTTTCTTTTAAAATGAAGTCACCATATATTAAGTTGTTTTGAAGATTCGGCTGGTGTTCTATAATGTGAGCACAGATAAGAGATTGCACCTTACCACCACTGGAGGCCTTGGCACACTTTTCCACTTTTGAGGGGTGTAATATACCCAGCAGACAGTGGGTCAGAGCCAAATCGTCTTATGTGTCTGCCACTGCTGTTTCCCTTTCCTTGTAACCTGCCCCCCCCCTCCATGACCATCAAGCCCTATTGTGTCTATCATGTAAATTCAGTGTCAGGACACGCATAAAACGCTTGTCTAGTTCCTGTCCTAACTCTCCTAACTCTTTCCACATCAGCCACACACAAGGACACTATTACTTCACTGTCAGTAGGTTTGCTTTTCAACAACAGACACCTGTCTGTATTTTCTTCCTTGTCCTTCTCATGACTGAACCTGTGCTCATTGCTGTAAAACCCTCCTCTGCATGTGGCTGTCTTCCCTTAAACAGTGGGAGCCTTTTGTGGACAAGAGTCAACATAAAAATACTTCATGTTATATAAATATACCTAATAAGTATTCATCGAATACTTTTTATCCAGTCTCTTATCTTAGTCTATTTTAAGATCTATATTTTCCTGGGTGTGCATTTCTACAATCCCAGCACTTAGAAGGGTGAGGCAGGGGGATAGCTGAGAGTTTGAGGGCAGCTTGGTCTCCCTAGCAAGACACTAAAGAAAAGAAAAATGAAAAGTTTATTTCTGGGTTTTAAAGATCACTATGGAAGTCTGCTCCCTGGGGAGAAGAAAGGGAATGGGATGGGGGTTGGTGGGGAGAACAGGGGAGGATGGGAGAACTGGAATTGACATGTAAAACAAACTTGTTTCAAATTTAAAAAAAAAAGAGAGATCACTATGTATCATAGAGTTTTCTCCACATGGACTATGCATGTTGTTATCAGAGAATATCATGTCCTACCTCTTAAGATAATGGCCTAAGATCTGACTTGCCATTTCAAGTAGTGTAGTGGTATCTCAGGGGTATGGCTATTTTTTGGGGGGGGTAAGGTGGGGGTGCTTTTGTTTTGGTTTGTTGTGGTCATCTACAACATTGGTTTTGTAGTCAGCTTAAGTCACCCCAGCTCACCTCACCACCACTTGTCTCAGTGTTAGATAATACTTGTTAAAGGAACATAGCTATAAATTATGTAGTCATTTGATACAGGGAAGGAAAATGGCAGCTATCACGGGAGTGAACAAGACCACCAAATTGCATTTACCGGCTTGTAATGAACCATGCTTCTCCACGTGATTCAAACGTTGCCTCTCAACTTGCAACTAGATGAAACCCACACTGATTAGTGTGTTCCACCTCTGCTTCGGTAAATCAAGCCAGGCTGACTTCTCCTTACCAGTGCAAAACCAATTCTCACACAGGACAACTTCTCCGTTTTCTCTGACTTGTCACGCCTGCCTCCTGCCCCGATTTCATTTTCTAGTCATTCCCCCACCTGCGTTCTTCCTGCTAAACCCGAGATGGACCGCTGACCTCTTTGCAAGAGGTGCGAATGATGCCAGAGTTAGCGACTGCTCTGCAGCTCTCCAAAGCTCCTCCTCCCCAGAGGTCGACAGTGCTTCGGACGCAGAGGTTGGGGAGCAGGACAGCAGACACTCGTAGGGTGCCCTCCGAGAGGAGCAAGCAGAACCCTGGGTGCCGAAGAGGCCGCGCGGGGGACCGGCGTGCCCGTGCCATGCGGAGCCTGGACTCCCGCGGCCACCCCGCAGCTGCAGCCCCGGCCCCCGGCTCTGCTCCGCGGCTGGGCCGCCCGGCGCGGGCCGCTGTCCACAGTGGGAGGTGCTGAAAGCAGGGCGCGGGGGCGGCGGGCCGGCCGGCTGCTCCGAGCGCCCCCCTCCGCGCCGCGCCGCTCCTCCGGCCCTCCCCTCCTCCATCAGCCATGTTCCGCGCGCGGGGAGGGCTGGGGGAAGGGGCGAGCGCCGGGGGCCGGCGGCGAGGAGAGCCGCCTCTGCCTCGGGGAAGGAGGGGATGAGAGCTGGGGGGAGCAGCGCGACGAGGAGGCGGCGGCGGCGGCCGGCGAGGAGCCCGCGCTGGGTTCTGCGGTAGGACTCCCGGGAGCCACCATCATGGTGAAGAGGAAGAGCTCTGAGGGCCAGGAGCAGGACGGCGGCCGCGGCATCCCGCTGCCCATCCAGACCTTCCTGTGGCGGCAAACCAGGTGAGGGGCGCCGGGCTGGGGGCGCTCGGGGGTCGCCGGGTCGTCGCCACCGCAACCACCCTGTCACCGAGGCCGCGCCACAGCCTGCAGCTAGCAACGTCTCTGGGGTGGAAAGCGAGCCCTCTGCACCCACTTAAAAGCACGCATTAAAAAAAGAAAAAGGGGGGAAAAAGAAGAAGAAGAAAAAAAGAAAAGAAAAGAAATCTCACTGAAGTTTGACAACAAGCAAATTGGCCGTTTTCAAATAAATACATACATTATCGAGGGGGTGGGAGGGCAGAGAGCCTAGGCAGAGGGGGCGGGGAGCTAGGAAGGTAATTGGGACTGGTTCCGCTCTCCTCCAGTTCCCCCTCCATCTCTTCTTGCTGTAATCCCTGCCTGGTGACCTGTTGTTTTCTAGCATGTTTGACATATCTGCTGTGCCCACTTGTTAACCATATTTGCTTGGATTCAGTCAGTGTCATCTTCCTGATTAAAGCCCCGGAGCAGTGATTTTTGATAGATTTATCTCACCTGACTGGGCTTGACACCCATGCCATAAACAGTAAAGGGCTTTCTTGTTATTTTAGAGGCCGAGTACATATGAAAATAGATGCTGGGAATCATGACCCATATCTGTGCTCATTTTTCAGTTTTTAAGATAACTGCACGCATGGGGAATGCACCACTTCTAATCACGGACGATTTAGAATCCGATTCAAAATAAGAGTGGTATGGAAAATTGTAAAGAGCTATGTCTTTTTCATGTATGTAGTTAATGTGCAACAGCAAATGTCGTCAGCTGTCCAACAGCTGCTCATTAACAAGCTGTAAAGAAGCATGAAATTTTGAGTTTTGTAGCGACATGCCCTATTTATTGAAAATGTAATATAAAGATGCTTTAAAATAGTTTTGCTCATGTTTATAATGAAAACCTTTGCTAATTTTTCAGTGCATTTTTGAGGCCTAAGCTGGGGAAGCAATATGAAGCCTCTTGTGTGGTATGTGATTCTTATCATTTAATGATTATTTCCATATTCTGTGTGATTATTTAAACCAAGGAAAGACGGAATCATCTTAACTCCACAAGTTAATTCAATTGAAAAATATTAGTGAGCATTTATCATGTACCAGGCACAGTTCTACTGTTGGAATAGGGTAAAGACATAAACAAAACACAGTGTTTGCATTCTAGCATGAGGCAGAAAGACCACAGAAGAATGTATACGTAAAATATATGATAAGATAGATGGTGATAAGCACCATGGAGAAAAGTAATAATGCATATTAGACAATCTATAGTAGGGGTTTTATTCTATAGACAGTTGGTGGATATAGCTTAAGTACTAATGTGATGCTTGGGCAGACACAAGGGATGAAGGAAGGAATTCCATCTTGAGAGGTGAGCAGAGGGAACTACAAAGGACCTTAGCATCAAGTAGAGATAAGCCAGAGGAGTGGGTAGGATTGAGGAGGCAGTAGAAGAAAAGGCAGAGAATGTAGAACTAGGCTCAGGGGAGCCTTTTAGAAAAGATTGAAAAGTCAAATCATTAATCAACAAAACAGAGACAGTTGTGCACTGGTTATTCATACAATGAATGGCTGTGAAGTTCTTAAATAACTTAATAAGCAGTTCTGTACTTTTTATGACTTGCACACATTCTGCAGGTCTGAAAGTGAATTGTTCAAAATCATCAATGAAAACAGTGCTATTAATATTTATATAGGATGAAGTGAACTTGTCCCGAGGTTCTAACAGAATCCCATAGCCTTATCAGGCATATTTTGCAAACTGAGAAAATAAGACACAAAATCATAAGCAAAAATGAAATTGATCTTAACAACTCCACAAATGGATTTAGATTATGTACAGTAGAGTGGGAAAGCAGAAAGCTGTATGTTCCCATGCTTCCAAACATATTTAAATGACTGTATGGATGATCCTCCAGGAAAGACTTCTGAAGTGTGAGATCCACAAATTATTGTGCCAATCAACTGGAGAGTTAAACATGCATGTGTACACACACACACACACACACACACACACACACACACACACACACAGGTATTGGCTTTATTGGATTATCACAAAGATACTTTCAAACTCACCTTCCTTTTCAGTATTAGTGTAATTTCTTGTATCTGAATTATTACAACAATTTGTCACTTTTAAATCTTCAAGCCCTTCTTTATATCATGCTGACACTTTAGCTTAAAATAACCACAACCATTCTCTGTTCTTGGTAAAGATTTGTATAATGTTTCTAAAGTACGCCCAGAATATATCAAGTAGTCAGGTTTCGTGCAAGGATAAATAGGCAAGTGGGGAATGAGATAAATCAACATCAATAAAGGCACAACTTCAGAGTTTCAAAAGTTATTACAAGTTCCATGAGCAGCACTGAAAGAAATAACATGAACACTCAGTTCCTTGAGATGATGAGAGGGGATAATTCATCCTGTTTGACATAGCTATGTACCTTTCATTTACAAAACGAGTTTATTTCTCCTTTTGAGTTCGAAAGAAAATAGTTCTTATGAGATAATCCTGGTAATAAAAATCACTTTTCCAAAATATCTTAATAATTACAACAATACAACTAGAATATGCAAGGCTTATGTTGCAACTCTCTACAACACAGTTGCACAAATGTATTGACCATTTAGGGCACTTAAGCATGAATCACGTTCATACAAGTTAAATCTACTTTGATGTTGTTCTAATAGCTGGTTGGTACCTTGTGCAGATATTCTCTACCCTTACCAAAGAAAACAAAACAAAGGAAAACTTGTGTAGATCAAACTTGTTTCTTGTTTTGGATTTTTGTTTGTTTGTTTTTCTCTTTGAACACCCATTTGACAATGATAGGAAATTTAATAAAACACAAGGCAAACATGGCTCATTTGACTGTTTTTCCCATCCTCTCCCTTTCTGGTTTAGCTAAGGACTTCCTTTGTTGTATCATTGCTTTGAAGATTAAATGAGTCAGTGGCCCCAAATCAGATTTCTTGAAATAACCTTGTATTTCAAATAACATCTGTTGGGCACACTGACATAAATTCCCTTCCTGAAGATGTCTTCATGAAACACATCTCATTTTTGTCTAGATCTGGGCTAGCCACTTTTGATACTCAACATTTTTATAAAATATTGTTAAGTATAATATAGTATCTTGACAGCAAATGAGTTGCTATTTGAAGAAACTTATTTTAACAGAAATAAAAATACAGATCCCATACTAGATGGTGGTGGCACACACCTTTAATCCCAGCAGAAGCAGGTGAATTTCTGTGAGTATGAGGTCAGCCTGGTCTACAGAGCAAGTTCCAGGATAGCCAAGGCTACACAGAGAAACCCTGTCTGGAAAACAAAACAGATCATTTTAGATCATATACCATATACTTTGTGTCCAAAACCTACAAACTGACAGTTAACAATTCCCTATGGCTGAATGATCGCAGGACAGTGTACACTTGTCTAGAATAGGAGTCCTCTACCAACACACACACACACACACACACACACACACAGTGAGCTCTGTGGTTATCCTTAGGATATGAAATGTTTTAACATAAACTTTTAATGTCTCCAATTCTTTGTTTTGTATGTCTCCTAAAAACTGAAATCTGCAGTCCTTTGAGCGAGTTTTGGTAGAAAACAAACTGCATGGCCTCTCCCCGGCCCTCTCTGAAGCCATCCAGAGCATTTCCCGGTGGGAGCTGGTGCAGGCTGCCCTCCCTCATGTTCTTCACTGCACTGCAACCCTGCTGTCCAACCGCAACAAGCTAGGTGGGTGCTATGGCATTGTTGAATTATACTGTTCTTCATGTGCAGTGTATACAAGGACATGTGTTAAGTGGTTCCAGCATCCCAGGCAATTTGCATACATTATCTTAGGTAATTATCATAGAATTTCCTTCTTATCAATACCATCATCATTGCCACTTTACAAAAGGGACCAGGCTTCCTTGTTCTTAGGTTTGTATATATGAATGCACTCTCCACTTACACGTTAAAAATAACATCAAGTGTGCTGAAGATTCTGACCCAGCCTGCCATCTACCATTTATCCTTCCAATTCCTAATGCAACAGGATTCATGAACTTGGCATATTCACCTAAGGCAGTAGTTCTCAACCTTCCCAATGCAACCCTTTGCTACAGTTACTCCTGTTGTGGTGAGCCGCAACCATAAAACTGTGAACATCGATACTTCATAAATGTAATTTGGATAATTTTATGAATTGTAATGTAGATATCTTTGGAGATGGGTTTGCCAAGAGGGTTGGGTCTCAATCTACAGGTTGAGACCACTATCCTAAGATATTTCTTCAGTTTTATTGTATTATGTAAATAGATAGATAGATAATTACTATCCTGCAAATTGCTTTCCTCTTCTACTAATAGGTGCTAGCCATGTTAGAGTACCCACCTTTCATCTCATTCTGTTCCTTTGTTTGTGTCTCTACTTTGATGTTACGGGGACCTTTCCAGATCAGGTCTAAAATAGAATACTTTCTGTTTTTTTAATCATGACTGTTTAATCTTTTTTCATGATAAGTAGGCCTGTTTGGGAAAACATTTAGGAATCTGACTGATGAACTATGGTAGCATGCTGTTCTGTAGAAATCCTAGTAAGAAACAGCCGTAAGTGGCAATGAGCCTTACAAATGGTGGTTGCATGAAGTTTGGAGGGTTGCTAGTGTCTCCTGGGAATGGAGTTACAGAGAAAAGATGAGATGTTGTCCAGACCAAAGGTTCACATCCATTATTCTGGTCACAGACTTTTATCTTCACTTGGCTGTGTGGTTGTCCCATGTAGGCCACCAGGATAAGCTGGGTGTTGCTGAGACAAAACTCCTTCATACGCTGCACTGGATGCTTCTAGAGGCCCCACAGGACTGCAACAGTGATCAGTTTGGGGGTACAGACAGAGGCTCCAGCTGGGGTGGCGGCAGCAGTGCCTTCATACACCAGATTGAAAACCAGGGCTCTCCAGGGCAGCCTTGCCGAAGTAGCTCCAACGATGAGGAAGAGAGCAACAGAAGGAAGATCTTCCAGAACTCCATGGCTACTGTGGAGCTCTTTGTGTTTCTGTTCGCTCCTCTTGTGCACAGGATAAAGGTAAGTAGGAAATTAATGTTAGAGGTATGGGATGGGATAGAAGTGAGTGCCTTCAAAGAATGCTTCCTTGTTTGTTTGCCCATGTCTTCTTTGCATGATCTTGCAACTGCTTGGGAACTTTTAGTTCTGCCTTAAACCCTATTTTACTTTAAAAACCCAAGCCTCTATATATCCCTTATCTACTCAGTACAGTACTACCAAATTAAATGTGCTTTATACATTCATTCATATATGACCTAAAGCTTAAATCCTTTTCTTGATTTAGTAGCTATTAGCTTCTACTTGTCACCTCAGGATCCATCTTGGGAGTTATAGGAGCCATTCCATGAAACCGCTCTTGACGTTTGCTCCGCATACCTTTCCATCCTCTCTTCCTCTTATGACCCTTTCAAATTCAACTTCAATGCCATTAATTCCATGAAGATTTTCCTTGGACCTTCTCCATGTAGATATAGTTGCCAGTTTCTCTCTATTTCCATAGCCCTTTGCAAATACCTGTATTATAAATACAGAATCTGGAGCAGAAGCTTCAAATTTTATGTACTATGACCTTTTTGACAGTGTTATAAAGCAATTGAATTTTTATTTTATATATTTTACATGCATAAAATGAGAAACAGGGTTGTATATTATAGTGAGTATGGTAACTTTCTAGATATATGAGCCTAGTTATATCTATAATTTTGTCTCATATCTTATTTGCATAAAATAATAGATACCTTCAACAATGTAATTAATATATGTGAGGTCATGCATATCATATTCCATTTCAATACCAAGACAAGAAATAAGATATTCATGTGCTTAACTGTTCTTCAGTATTATAACCCTAATAATAGATATGACAGGAAGCAATGAATATATAAAGGTGGATAGAACATTAACAGTTACTATAAAGGAAGAGACTAGTATCAACTTCAGTTTTCTTAAAAAATGCATTATTCATTAAACACTAATTTTTTAATGCTGTTTGATAAAATTGTTTTAAAACTTCAACTTTCAACAACTAAAAGTCTTTTATACGATTCACTAAAAGGAAAACATCTGTCCAACTGAGACAATTCATTACTTATGGGACCTGTAGGTCCTGGCTGCTGATAACCTCTTTAGTCTAATTTCCTTTCATGTCCACTAACCTTTATTATTACAGACTCTTCCTCAAACTTCATAAACCCATTCTTATGTTCAGGTCTTTGAACATTTACTCCTACCCTCTACCTTCATGTTCTAATGTGGCCATGCATTTCTTGTCAGTTTAGGCACTGTCAAGTGTCAACACATAGAAAAGCTCTTTCCCTAATTTCACCACTAGTGTTTCATCCTGTGTTTTTCCTTAGCAACTGTCAATACCAGGAATTATCATAGGTGTTTGAGAACATATTTAATGACCATTACTATAGAGGTTCCAAATGAAGGGATGCAATTTTCCTATATCACAATTATATTTCTAGTGTTCAGATGAGTTCACGTCTCTCAATACGTGTTTCTTTAGTGACTCACTCACTAAGGAAACCCAAGATATTATCAGAAGCAGATCCTTAAACAGCCATTGTATATGGATACATAGTCCTTAAACATGAAGAGGACAAGGGAAATGGGTTACCTAAAAACAGCCTGTAGAGATGTTCATGTGTCAACAAATAACCTCTGAATTGGGAAAATAGGTGATCCCAGAACAGCTATAATGTTATTTGGAAAACATGGCTGAGAGTTCAAGTCTTGAAAACCAATGATATTAATTTTGGGTTCATTGCCTGGAAATGGCTACTGTATAACACTGAGTACTTCATTTTTAAGCCTAAGTTTTATCAAGTATAAATTGGACATAAGAATGAATTTGAGAGCATTCTGAGGATTAAAGAGGTTATAGTACCCAACCAAAAATGTAGAAAGACATTAAAAAGGCATTTTCTTTGAGTGTCAATATGTTATTGCCACTACTATTCTTAGGAGATTAGTATTTCTTTGCTTTGACATTGTTGGCATTTGGAACCCAATAATCCTTTGTTAGACATTACCCTATGAATTGTAGAGTATTTAATGCTAGCTCAATAGTCTAACTACTAGGTGTTGGTCACATTCTCTCTTCCCTAAGTTGTGACATCCATAAATAACTCCAGAGGTTACCAAATGTCCCCAGTGGTAGAAAATCGGACTTGATTGAGAACAGTACCCAAGACATTTCATTTCCCTACTAGTTATAGGACTGTGTTGAGGTCTGTTTTCCTCCCCTGGCCTTTCTGCCCCTTATCAGTACTATTCCTACCCTTTGCTCTTCAATTCCAACCCAAACCAAGACCAAAGGCCTTCTCCTCACTCCCTAAGTGAGAGGGCTGCATGTTGCTGGAGAAAACACAGCCATCTCTGGGGTTCTTCAACATAGCCATAGTCTCCTGACCTAGTGGGCCTTCGAAGCACTTACACAGCCATGTGTTCGCTCACATAGGATGACAGGGACACCAAGGTTTAGTCAAGGCACAAGGCTAGGCTTCCATTCTCTCCCCTCCCATTTCGCCAATTCATGTGCTTGCTTCTAATCCATGTATGACAACTTTCACTTGCATTGCTTGAATTTTTTCCACCCACCCACAGGAACATTTGTATCTTTGTTTCCAGTTTTCCAGACATGAAGCTGAAGTTCAAAGCTGAGTATCCCAGCAGTTAATATCTGAACAAAAATCCCAGCGAGATTCCATAAGATTTCCTCCTAAGTCACCCCAAGCTAAAGTTGGACTTACTATTGTTTTGCCGTCTTCATTTCATTATACCTCAGTCATATTTGAAACTGACCCCGTGCCTTCCTATTGCACTATTGTATTGCTCAAGTGGCACCCATTGCTGCTGTTTTATTTCCATTCCTAGCTACAACTGCTACCGCCATTCTTGAAGATCTCTTCCCAGTAACAGGAGGCATCTGTGGCCTATACGCTTCTGTCTCCAAATTCTGCCTCTTCAAGCCTGACTTCTTCTTGCCTCAAGATGAATTTCAAGATAGTGATTCAAGTAGAGAAACCATGGGCATTTTTGTTTTCTCTGGATTGACCCTGTGGTCTGCATTTCATGTCATTTACACAAATGGCAGTTCCTTTTGCTTTCTCCCTCATTCTTGACATATTCCAGGAATCACTGATTACTATCCACTTTTCCCTTGCAAATATTTCTCAAATTTACCACATCTCCTCCATTCACATTGACTATCTCAATAATATTGTAGGGACATGTTTATTGTAGTAATTAATTTGTTTATTGTAATCTTTTTCTAAATCTTTCTCTTATTAGTTTGTGAATGGTTGGAAAGTGGAAATTATGGCTGCATCTGTGCAAAATAACACAGTATCTGTGTTTAGAAGATAATATTTATTGAATGAATTAATTCTCAAATTAGCAGTCATCTAAGTTACTCACTCTTTTAAAAGACATATTCATTGCCTACTTTCTATGTCTTTCATTTATATTTCACTCCAATATTTCATCCAAATCATTAATCAGATTATTCTGCCAAGTATATCATTAATTTATACTCAATTTAGTAAGTGAAAACAAAATATATTTATTAAAGTACAAAGTCTCAGATTGAAATGTATCCTTTGAAGGAATATTTCTTGAGTGCCTACAACAGATGAGGCACTGTTTAAAGTCTTAGAGAAACAGCGGGGAATAAAGCAAAATGCAAGGCTGCAAATGGACTTGAATAAAATCCATACATGAAGGATACAATTTTGCTTAAATGCTAGTTGCTCAGTGAAATCTGCTCAGTGACCAGTTAATGCAATTTCTCAACACTATAATAGGACTGAGACGTCTGTGGAATAGATAAAGGCATGCATAAGGTGGGAAAACAGATTGCTTCCCTGTTTATATCTGCTCTTTTCTCTGAAATCTGTGTCTTCCTTCTCAACTACTTAAATGATTTTTAAAAAAATGTTCTCTAGGGACCAAGTTTCTGGTTGTATGTGTATACAGCATGTATAGAGCCCCACCAAAGAGGAATAATTAGGGTAGCAGGGGCTATGCAATCTGAAAACTTAAGAATACTTTGAAAATAGCACAGTAACATAAGAGGAAGCCATGGGTATGGCAGGTGTTAACAAATGAAGAGTGACTGAATTGAGATGCTGGTATCTGGAGAAAGTAGGAATACATCTGCTTAAACATTGAGGACACACTGATGGTCAGGAGGGAGGCCTCAGAGGAAAGTCTCACTTGTCTTCAGAAATTGCCCCTTTTATTTAGTTGGAGATATAACAAATACAACAACAACAAAATGATGGTGAGTGGCACACTGACACCCTGGATATTAAAGACCAGGATTTTAGTAAAAGGCTTGAGAATTTCCTGATGCTATTTCTACTGGAATTTTTTTCTTCTTTTTTCCCCCCATCATTCTACTGGAATTTTTAAGTTGCTTTCTCTCCACCTACCCCACCCCCCGCCCATCTCCTTTTCCTCTTCCTCCTCCTTCTTCTTATTACAACTGTTATTATTTGGGGATTATCAAACTTATGATGTAGTCTAAGCTGGCCTTGATTTCTTAGGTAACCAAGCATGACCTTGAACATCTGTTTCTCAGGCCTCCACCTCCTGACCTGGTTGGATTACAGGCATGTACCATCATTGAGATTATGTGTGAGACACATGGAAAATAAATGAGTTGAATTTGTAACTGAGAAATCATAAAAACCAAGTCAACTGAGGTTTGGCTTCTGGCATTTCTGAGGATAAATCTGGAAGAGTTAATTTAATGGTGATTTTTCTGCATGCCAGGTACCATGTCTGCCATCCATTTCAAGGGATGGTGCCTTCCAGGTCTTTCTAGCTGCTCTCTTAATTATCTACTGCTTAATGTCAAGTGGTATCTCAGCCTTGTCAGGCCATGCTTTCAAAATCTTATCACCTGCTCCATCTCATTCTGTTCATCTTTATCAGTGGCAGAGACCAAGATCCCAGGCTCCTTCTTTCCTCATAACTCCACCACCAACTGTATCTCCAAGATGCATCCAAAACTGCAATTATGTTCTCTGCTAGTAGTCCAGTCTAATCAGCTTTCATATAGATGATAACTATAGCCTGAAAGATTGTATCTTACTTTAAATTTGTCCTTTTTCAAACTATTCTCAATGACTTGATTTAACTTAGTAAGCATACATCCTCTGCTACTCAAAACCTTTTGGTGCCTCATTTCTTCCCAGGTCTGTGTCCTATCAGGCAACTCTCTCACACATTATAACTTTCCTGATTGTGTATTTTTCCATTCTCTTTATTCTAGACTTATAGTACAACATTTGATTCTTGACCCACTAAGCAAACTTAGGAACTTTGAACCACTGATGCCTCTTGTTGAATACCTTTCTTCGTGACACCTAGGTGGAAACTCAGTCATGTCACTTAGGTCTTTACTCAGAAGTCATCTCTCCTGCTCTCCCTGGACTGCCTGTTTTAAGAAGGCAGAACCTTGCCTGATATATCCCTCTACCCACTTTACTACAGTGCACTATGAGCAAGGGCTTCTGTGTATATACTTTATTCCCTTACATACACAAGAACCTAGCATAGCACTAAGCTTATAGCATATAATGTACAAATACTTGAAATTAAATTTGGAATGGATTTCAGCAAATACTGTGTAAGCTGTTGTCATTCTTCTATGGGGAATCCAAGAGGCTTTTCCTTGCTAATGGATCCAGTACTCTGCTGTGTGAGAGGTTTTTTTTCCCCAGGAGATGCAGCACACTAGTCTACTCACCCCAGAACAGAACCAGGAGATACTGATGGGAGATGTCATTTTGTAAATATTTTTCTCATACTGGTTAATGAATAAAGCACTGTTGGCCAATAGGAAAGCAAGATAGGCGGGACTAGGAGACAAGGAGGATTCGAGGAAGTAGTAAGGAGGAGTCAGCATGTAAAGACCGAGGAGAATAGAGGTCTGGGCCCCTCTCTACAATAAGATAAGACCATGTGGAAGTACTTAGATTGATAGAAATGGGTTAATAATTAAGACAGAGCTAGCCGATAAGAAACTAGTAACAAGCCAACAGAATTATATCAAATACAGAGTGTTAGTGTGTTATTTGGGGCTGGTGAGGCAGTGGCTCCAGACTGGGGGGAAAACACTTATAACAGGAGACCAAAGTCCAACTTGGTGAACCGATGGGCTTCTGCTGGGGTTACTAGCAGGAGTGTGAGTGAGGGGTTTCTTACAAAGCAACTTCATCACCAACATAGGTGATGACTCAGGAAGGCTGCATGCCAGGCTTTCTCTGCTCAACTTGCCCACTGATGGACAGGTCTGAGAAACCTCTCTGCATCTCTGGTTAGATGTTCTTTTTCCAGATGCCATTTTCTGGAGAGGTGGAGAGGAACCTTTTGAGTGTCTTGCAGTTTTCCACTCTCCCAAGGCATAAGTCTTGTTTACCTCCAGAATCTCATGAATGTCCCCTTCGCTCCTAGATGGCATGTTTCAATTCAAAGGAATCTATTGTACAACAGATCTCAACCCAGTATTTAGCTTTATGGAAGAGCAAGTGTGTGGGTTAGTTTTAAATGTCAACTTTCTACAATCTAAAGGCACCTAAGGAAAAAAGACTCAACTGGGGAATTGTCTGGATCAAGTTGTCTTACAGGCATGTCTGTGGGGGAATTGTTTTGATGTTTCAATGATGGAAGAAACCCCAGCCTATGGTGGGCAGTACTGTTCTCCAGGGAGGGCATTCAGAACTATGTAAAACAGGAGGACGCAAGCAAGTAAGAGTGTGTTTATTTTCTTTGCTCTTGATTGTAGAAGTGATTTGACTAGCTAGTACCTGTTCCTTTCTTGACTCTTCCTCAGTAATGGACAAATAACCTTTTCCTCTTCAAGGTTAATTTTAGTCAGGTTATTTGTTACATAACACAACTGAAATCAAATATAGACCCCATGTCTCTAACAATGTGAATTTATCTGGGGATTTTAAAAGGGACTTGTTTATTTTATGTGTATACCCATGACTTTATGTATGTGCACCATATAGGTTGCCCTTGGAAACCAAGAGAGGATGTCACATCCCCTGGAACTGAGTTTTCAGGCTGGATGGGAGCTGCCCTATAAGGAGCTTGAAACTGAACTCTGGTCCTCTTTAAGAGCAGCAGATGCTTTTAACCACCAAGCCATCTCTCCTACACTTCATCTAGGAATTTTGCCAACATCCTTTAGCTGAAGTTTTCTTATTATTTAACGAACTTGATTCGTTAACTTGATTGTTGAGCCACTTTTCTTCTTCTAACTTTCCAGCTCTTCACTGGTATCTTCCATCTCGGTGGTTTTTAGCTATGCCTACATAAGAGGGTCCCTGGGGAACTTTAGAAAAATCTCACAAGGTTTCTAATTTAATGGGTCTGAGTATGAGAACAAGATAAGACTCAAGCCTCCTCTGTGCTTTAAAACTTTCCCAAGTAGTTGCAAGAACACAAGTTAGAGTAGCAAAATATTGTCCCAAGTGAATCCCTGTGTCTCAGATATGTTCACTAATCTGAGTTCATATTCCCTCCTTCCATGATCACTTTTTTGATGAGATATTTAAGATGTGATCTTATGACACATTTGAACTCTATTATGAGTTGCATTTTCATATACTTAAGCCTTTCAATATGATGCAATAATGACTCATAGGATGTGTTTCTTGAAGGAGCTTTTAATTACAAATAAACTGTACAGGCATGAGTTATAAAACCAGCCAAATTTAACAAATATTTATTGAGAATCTTTTTGCACACAATCCCCCATCTGTGTTAAGTGCTGTGGTAATTCTGGGAGCTGCAGGAAAGGAGAATTGAATTCCTCGAAGAATTAGGATTGTTAAGAGATCATTATGAAATCACTCAGTATAAAGAATCAGACTGTATTTATCCAATTCCATGAAATAAAGAGAGAAGCACTGGATACTAGGTGTCGGAGTAGCCAGACTTTAAGGATATTGCCTTCTGATGGAAAAATAAGGACAATTACAAAATTAAGAAGAATGACACTTTAACCAAGCATTAAGAGATCTGCCAATACTATCTATGTAAATAAACAGATCTCCCTCACTCCAAACAATGATTTATGTATTCCGGCGTTTTCCAAAGCTATATTAGATTAATCTCATTTTCCAGAAAGCAGGTCACTGAAATTTCCATCCTGTTTGTAGAATTAGCAGCATCATTGGTTTGCCTAGAATCACTCATTAGAGTGTTTGGTAGAGCAAGTCTTTCTAAAAATGGTCTGTGGAAGATGACCGATTTTCTGATACAAACCAACTACTGAACGCACATCTTCTCTGTCCCCAGGAATCTGACCTCACTTTCCGGCTGGCCAGTGGGCTGGTTATATGGCAGCCTATGTGGGAACACAGACAGCCAGAAGTGTCTGGCTTTACTGCGCTGGTGAAACCCATTAGGAGCATCATAACAGGTTCGTGACCGTTACCCAGGCAGGCTCCCTCACAGTAGACATTGTGATAATTTTCCTTTAAGAGGACAATAAAAAGCAAATCTCTCTAGAAAATTATCTGGTGGCCTAGGAAGTAGGCATATTCACATGGGACACATATGTTTTGGTCATGTGACTTTGGGTAAATCATCTAACTATACTGAGCTTTTTTTCCTCATCTGGGAAATGAGAATCAAAATATTAATAGTGCTTATAGAATCGTCAAGAATAAATTACATATACATATGTGTATTTATAATCAGGTAGAAGAATGCCTGTCATATAGTAAGAGATGATTGTTATTATGGCTATTATTGAATTTTGTTTATGATAGATGAAGTAGAGGGTCCTTAGAGATCTCTTCATAGTGTTTTATTGCTATCAGAATTTTTGCTTGAGAAATTGGAATTGTGTGGTGAGCTAGTGCCATGGTTGAACTGAATTGTAGAAGAAGCCCAGCATGATAAATTTGTGAGTGTATAATAGGCTCATACTTCACTCTAAGTACATCTTTATGTATGCAACTTAATCATGCAGCTTAACTCCAGAACGAGCGTTTCTATTAATATAAAATAGAGACACTATGGCGTCTTATCTGCCTTCTTAATAAATGTAAATGAGAAAGTGAAAAGTACTTGTTTTGGAGTAAATGCTTAATAAATTCTATTCTTCTGTTTTCAGTCCAATTTTGTCAATGATAAATAAATTACATAGGGAACCTATAGAAACATATATGCTATATTCATACATATACACATCTGAGGAGGTGGTTTCCTTGGATTGTAGGTTTTGGAGACAGACTGTGAGGATTATGTATATAAAGGGGCTCTGTAAGTGGAAGGGAACTACAAACAGATTCTCCCATTCTTTTCCTCTATAACCTAATACAACTCTCCAAATATTTTATATGTTAAGGAATCGTTGTAGTCATCGAGTTCCTTATTAGTCATGTGTTTCAAAAGATTACTAATCTGACAAATAGAGTCATTCAAAGAAAATTGATTTTTTCACATAATAAAAAGTACATGAGTCTCACTATATATATAAATATGTATCATTAACTTTTGAAAGATAGATTCAAGAGTATTACCGCAGTTTTAAATATAAAGGAACAAAGTCAGTAAAGGTGCTATAACTGTGAATCTGCTTCAGATTCTAGGTATCAAATGTAGTTAATCTGGAGACAGAATGGAGGATGGATGGAAGATTATTTTGATATAATTTTCCTATATAAATGGAATAAGCCCTTCCCAGCCAGAGGTCTGAGCCCTGAAGCTTGACCCTGGAGCCTTGTACATGCTCAGCAAGTCTCTGCCACAGATTTACAACCCCAGCCCCATCTCTCTCACTCTGATTCATGCATAGATGGTCATTTAACATGTTTTTAAAACTTCTAAGGAATATTGACCCTCCTTGACAGCCCCATAAACTACTTACCTCCCCCATGGCATCTGGAAAACACAGAATTGGTTTCTTCTGTACCTGATGCCTGGGACTGAAGGAAATTCAGACACAACCTAGACAATGTGGCTAGAAAGAGAGACATTGGCAATAACTTGGATTTTTCACTACCCAGCCAAGACAGACACTGCTGCCATATGCTGCCACATGCTGCCACAGTCATCCAGTTACCTAATCCTAAAAAGTAAAGACGTAGTCTATTTGAGTCTTACCACAGGATTGGTCTAACCCTATTGACATAAACACATATGCTGGAGTTACAAAACTGGCTTGGAATATTCTGATAAATGTCAAGTTAAATTTCCTGTTGCCTGAGTTCTTCATCTGCAAATTGGTATAATGATGCAGCAGTAGAATAGGATAACCAAAAAGATTAAATTAGCTAACATATGTTAGCTCCTTAGGACAGGACTTGGTATGCAGATAGGTCAGATAACCCATACCTGTTTTATTTTTATTATTACCAACTTCTAAATCTTATCCTCATAAATCAAGATAAAGAGATAAATATACACATTGAAAACTGAGAGATGCTTGTTTTTATCAACTATTTGATTTCAGTTACATCACACAAGATTTGGTGTTTTCTTTCAAAGTGATAATATTATAGAAATTTGAAAATGACATGAACCTATGAGATAAAACAAATTGTGATCTTATAAAATTGCTGATGGCTTTTTCTATTATCTCTGTAGCCAAGAGAAGCTCTCCTGCTAAAAGTCAGAGTCAGACCTGTGAATCACCAAATCAAGACACAAGACAGCAAGGCGAGGTTAGTATGTTATAATCATGAGACGAGGGCTGGAAGAGATTCTTTAAGAGCGTGCCCTAATGGACCAGACATCAGTTTTAGATTCAAACTCTCCACTCAAAACACTCTCCTCCATCCTGAATGTGCAGTTTTGCCCAGTCTGAGGTCTTCTGTCAGTCAAGTGTAAAAATTAATTTCAAGCACCTCCCAGTAGTATAGAGGTGTTGGAACAAAACAGTATGAATATTATATCTCAACAATCAGTATGGAGTAAGTAGTGTTTTATCTTGATGTCTAGAATGCAACAATAAGTATTAGTTGGCATGCATCTCACATTTAAAAAGTGTGGTTAGAGCTCCCTTCACCTTCCATTCAAACAGTGCAAATTAAAACTTGACACCTTCAATTGAAATTGGGTTCTCTTTCTAATTGACATATTCCTCTCAAGAATGGCATTACCTCCCAAGCCACACTCATGGCTTTAATGTGTTGACATATCTACCATTCCCTGAGCAATTGCTTACACTGGGATTCGTGAACCTCCTTCAGTTATTCTTACAATTAATGTCTTTGTAATTGAGTGTGGTTGGTGATCATTGGTTGCTCACAGTCTCTCTGCTTGGCGGCAATCTTGACAAGGCAACCATTCCTGTGCAGCATAAGTTTGGTCATGTGCAACATTAGCATTTGCAGCATCAGGATCAGTGACTGAGAAGAAAGTCGAGGAAGAGTGGACAGTCTAAAAAACAATGCCGTTGTGAGCTAATAGCCCCTAAAGGGGGAAATTCTTCATTGGAAAACCTCAAATATCAGCTCCAAGTTGAATATTCCAAAATGAAGAAATCTTAAGACTACTACACTATGTGTCACTTACCCTTTCCTTCCACACATACACAACATGAATACATAATCCAAGTTATGCCTTGATAATTCTAAGACAGCTCTTCCAGCTATTACATGATTTAAGCTTTTCATTGATAAGAAGCAAAAGTGTTGTTTTATTTTTCTTAGTGGTACATAACATAATGGAGTGTTTTTAAGTAATGGCACATTAAATATAACAGACTGTGTAGAGCTTGGTTTGCTCTGCTTGTACCTTCTGTTATGATTTCTTGCAGGGCAACTGTGTTGCTTATGTGTGCTGTTTATTTCCTTCAACCATTTATGTTCTGAAAATATAATAACTCAATTGCAGAATTTACCTTCCTAATTGCAGTTGGTATCTGTAAAGCCTTTCATGATTAAATGAATATGCAATTTAATAATGTCTGACTTTCTAATGCACTCTTTATTTATTAACCCACTCCAAGTAAGCTATTACATGCAAGGTGTTATCCTTTTTTCATGGCTCCTCCTCCTCAGGAACCCTAAGCCTGAACTCCTCTTTGATGATTAGGACTCCCATCACCTGACACCATGTTTCCCACCTGACTCTCTCTGTGGCCACCCCTTCAGTTAACCGGCATGCCTCCAGCATACAGCTCATGCTCACTTTGCCCAGCTCTCTGCTGAGGCTACTTCTTCTAACACAAATGTCCCTCCCTCCCATACCAGTCTAAATTGTATCCTTTTGATAAGCAGTGGTGCATGCTTATAATCCCAGCTGCTCAGAACACTAAGGCAAGAGGATTGCAGCTAAACTACTATGGTAGACATCTGAGGATCTTTGTGCTTAGGTAGTTAAGCTATGATACCAACTGAAAAATATTTCCTGTTACCTGAGCACAGTTGCATTTGTCGCTAAATGGAATTAAAATAAGTTACTCAGTAAAATAAATTGTTGAGTGTATTCTTGCAGACAAGATAAAGGCCCTCAAAGCCAACTGAAGATCGTGTTATATTCCTTTTCTCATGAATGATGGGAAAACTTTCATCCTCAGGTTCAGACCTGAGTTTGATAATTTCCTGTTATGCTAGCACTGGGCTGAGCCTCAAACTCCTTGATTATGGCATGTCTTTGCTGAATTGTGGGGTACATAATTTACTGCAGATACTGGACATAGAAGTAAAAAAAATGGAGGAAAAATGAATAAAATTTATAAAATACTTAAGCTTCATGCTTGGAATAACACCAAGAACTCTATTTCCATTGCTTTTAGACAAAGGCAGTCTCTAGGTCTATGATTGCTTATGCTACAAAAGAACCCTTCAATACCTATGACTCTGTGTACATGAAGGAAGTAATGCTAGAGTATATTTGCAAAGTAGGGAAAGGAACTAATCTACTGTCTCACCTCACAAAGGGCCTTCAGGTGGTCAGTGAAGCATTGCAGTCTGACTCCATCTCACCCAAGGCCACCATCTCAGGCTGCCACCAGGGAAACTCCTTCGATGGAAGCCTATCCTCCCAAACTTCCCAGGAAAGAGGCCCATCACATTCAAGGTACTTGACTAGTAGGCTAGAAGAAATACCGAAAGTTAGACTGCATTCGAGCTGCTTTTACAGCCTTCATTCTTTAAAATATGGATGTGTGTTCTGTATGTATGTGGTTCTGGCCAAGATATAAATTGTCATTTCCAGACACAGCTATGAATGTCCCTCATTTTAACAAATCAGGCTGGAAGTAGAAAGTCATGTCAGATTTGGTGAGTTGCCTGAGTTAAATATCCAAGTGCAGAAATCCCAATAATATTATAAGAAGATTACATTGCAGTCATGATTAGGGATGCAATTTAGTGGGTAAGGACACTTTGCATCAGTAAATCCCTGTAGTTGCTGGAACACTTTGAGATGATCAAGTCTACTCTTAAACATTCCGACTCTTCCCCGTTATTTTGTGAACAGAACAAATGGATTTGCTTGCAAATACCTTCTGCAAGGACTAAGCTAGTCTATCTCTTCCTACTCCCTAAAGGAATTGTAGAAACCTAGCTTCACAACGTCAGCCCCTTCATCTGATGAGCTGTAGACTAGAAGGCAAACTCTGTATTTCTACTTTCCAATGAAACTGTTGTTTGGGTGATAGTACTTTAAAATAAAGTTCTAAATATAGCTTTAGTGAAATACAATGTCTATGCCATAAAATCAACCTGTTAATGTTTTAATAATCCCTTGGTTGTACAATTATCAGAAAAACCCAGTTTTAGAATATTTCCATCATTTTCAGCTATAATTATTCCCAGTCCCACACAGACTTCAGAAAGTGTGTGTCATACTTTCTGTGTGCATTAGGTTGTATTTTTAGGCCCTGTGTATAAAGGGAATGGATTAGTTTATGATATCTTGCATCTGCCTTCTTTGATTTGTAATGTTTTTGAGGGTTTTTAAATGTAGATCACTGTGCTGAATACCATTAATTACTGCTGAATATCATTAGCGTGGACAAATCTATCATCTTTCTTTACTCATCATTGGGTGGCTAGTTTGTTGACATGTTTTGTATATTATGAATAACACGGCTGTGACCCTTCACTTAAATCTTTTATGGATATAGGTCCCCAATTCATTGGTGGACAACCTTGAGTAAAATTGCTGAGTTGTGTAGCTAATTTATGCCCAAATTTGAAAAGAACTAACAACTTTTTTTCCCCCAAAATGGTGGCACTGTTTTTCACTCTGGGTTTTAGTATCCTCAGGAACATTTTTATTGTTTTTCTCTTTTGATTATAGTCATCCTAGTGGGTATAAAATGGAATCTGACTGTGGCTTTCTTTCATTTACTTTTCCCTAATGACTAAGGATGCTAAGGATGCTTTCATATGCTTATGAGATATTTAAAGGTACTCTTTTATTAAAGGGCTATTCAAACTTTTCCCACATTTTAATGGGGTTGTCTAAGTTCATTTTAAAAAATCTTTAATATATTCTTCATACAAATCTCTTATTAGAGAAAGTCATTCACAGGTACCTCCTTCTAGAATCTGGCTCACCTTTTCATTTGACAGTTTTTAAATGATTTATCTGCTAAACTAGATTATTTAGGTATATTGTTTTTGAAATTTTCCTAGATGTATTAAAAACATAAAGCCCTGTAGAAAAAATATTAGAATCTTTATATTTGTAGGTTTAGTACATATGCATTTATTCATTGGTTTCTATTTTAGTAGGTGGCACAATAATGGTCCCAGATATCTTACTTTTTAAAAAATCTAAAGGTGAAGCTCAGTTAAGGTGTATGTCCATGCGTTAGCTCTTCAGAACAAGCCAAAATATACGAGGTTCATTCCAATCCAAGTCATGTATACAGGCTACTTTCTTATTGCCTCTCACATCCTGCCTCATAGTCATTTAATTTAAATCCTTACCATTTTCCTATTTAGAGTTTTACAACTGCTTCTAGTATCTATCTCTACATTCAGCATACATACATTATCATTTTATTCACAATGTGAATCCCGTTACCATACTGTTGCCAACTATCCACAGGCTAAAGAGACAAATAATCTGTGCTTTTACAAGTGTGCTGAAAGCAAGCATATAATACCTGCCTTTTATATGGCTACCAGGAGGGAAGAAGTGGAATTCTGAGCTGGAAGTGGTGGAGGCCCCTTTGACTAGAATGCAGGACACTCTTGGTCATGGCAATTTGCTTTTCCTGGGCTATTGGTTCTGTTCCCCAAGTCACTTTTACTTTCCTCAGAAATGTAGCATAAGCATGGCTTATGTCCTGCAACTAACATTTGGGGGAGGGGGCCTGAGAGCCTATTTTCAATTTTTAAGGTCTCTGGGAGTGTTTTGGTCAATATAATGTTTTTAAATTTTTTATAGGTTCACTGTGAATTTTATTAGGATCCACTGGGTAGACAAAATCCATATTAGCACATCCCATCTCTGTCTTCCTTAGGCATCTGTTAAAGAATATTGCTCATAATTTTCTTATAAGTCATTATATATACACATGTAAAAGATAATTATATAATGATAATGTTGTATAAGAATAATGAATTATGAAATGTATAATAGATAATGTAAAATTATATAATGGAGACCATAAAATTATATAATAGATAATAGTATAGGAATAATAGAATATTACATATGTATGTATGCAAATATATGAATAAACAAGCATATCTATAAATGTAGACATATACATTTATGTTATAAATGTGTACATATATATTTGCATCACATTGTCAAGGTTTGTAGAGGGCCTTTGTCAGATTCAATAGTATTCTAAAATATGACCTTAGCTTATTGTGAAGTCTTTTTCTTTTAACATTCAATAGAATATTTATTTTCAAGGTTACAGGGACTTGCCAAATGTGTGAAGCTACAAACTTGGGGTTAATCTGCTGCCTACCTACTGCTGCTTCAGGTAGATGGATGTGCAGGGGTTCAGCTAGTTGGTGTCTAAAATTTCTCACACAGTCTTCAACCCTGGTATGTTTGTAAGTTCTCTGATTGCAAGCAAGAAAGGCAGCAGCCATAGTAGGGCATAGTGGTACACATTTTAATTCTAGCTCTCCGGAGACATAGTAGATGGTTCTCTGTGAGTTCAAGGCCAGCCTGCCTATGTCCCACAGCCCTCTTCTCTCTGCCTTATAAGAGAGAAGGGCAATAGTCCATAAGGCATAGCTGTGATGATCTTTTCTAAAGGGACATAGCTGATCTAATGAAGATAGTGGTACATCAGCTTGGAGGATAATCTTGTATGTACAATACCTCTGTTCAAGCATTACTCTGTTTATAATTCCTGGTTTATACTGTCAGTTATTTTGAAGTCTTAACAAGTAACTCTATAGTTTCATCCTTGGCTTGATCTTTAGACAGTGTTTATTTAACAGTTCCCTGGATTTTATGTTTGCAGTCCTCCATTTCTTAATTTTAGCATCATTTGTTCTCTGTAAAAGCTGGGAAATTTCAATGTTATCATGTCTCACAAACCTTTAATAATTTTGTATATTCCTATATTTTCTGGTTTACCATACCAACAAAAAGAAACAAATAGGTGTCTTTTAGACCTTATCTGGATATCTTTCAAAAGATCACCTAGTTTGCTGTGAACATTGTGTAACTTTCACAACAATGCAAACTTAGTCTTGCCTCTACATAGCAGAAATTTTCAGCCCCCATTTCTTTTTATAGGTTCTACCCGTTCCAGGGTTCAACAACCATTCCCCAAGTTTAAGGGTTATTTTGTTGCTTCAGTTCCTCAGCATCAGGGTCCTTATTTAAGTCTACACATGACATGAGAACTGGCGTCTCTCAAAACAAATTATATAAGATCGAGAGAGAACACCAATATAGAACTTCAGTGTTTTTATAGTACATTCTGAAATGCACAGACTGTTGCTTCTGTTATATTCTGTGCATGACAACATCCAACTCTGGTAGAGTATGGGATTATCCTACACTAGGGTGTAAGGACCAGGGAACTATCTTAGAGGCCAGTGTCACACAAATAATAAAACCTCAGAGACAGGGAGAAGTGGAAGGGGGAGGAGAACACGAGAGATCAGGAAGATTGAGTTTGGGAAGAACAGAGAAGGTGAGCAAGGAAAGAGATACCATGATAGAGGGAGCCTTTATGGGCTTAACAAGATACCTGGCACTGGGGAAATCTCCAGGGATCCACAAGGATGACCCCAACTAAGAATCTAAGCAATAGTAGAGAGGCTACCTTAAATACTCTTCCCCTATAACGAGATTGATAACTACCTTAAATACCATCATAGAGCCTTCACCCAGTAACGCATGGATGCAGAAACAGAGATTCATAGCTAAGCACTGAGCCGAACTCCTGGAATCCAGTTGTAGAGAGGGAGGAGTGATGAGCAAAGGAGCTGACCTGATCAAACCGCTGACCTGAACAAGTCGGAGCTCACAGGCTCAGACTGACAATGGGGAAACCTGCTAAGACCAAACCACCTGCTAAGACCACCTGAATGTGGGTGTCAGTTGGGGCTGGGGGAGGGAGGGGCTTGGGCAGTCTACGGGGCCTTTGGCAATGGAACCAGTATCTATCTCTAGGGCACGAATGGACTTTTGGAGCCCATTCCCTATGGAGGGATACTCTTTCAGCCTAGATATAGGGGGAAGGGCCTTGGTCCTGCCCCAAATGGTGTGACAGATTTAGATGGCCCCCCATGGGAGGCCTCACCATCTCTGAAGAGTGGATGGGGATAGAATGGGGAGATGGTGGAGGCAATGGGAGAACAGAAGGGAGAGGGAAGTTTGATTGTATGTAAAATAAGATGGTTTTTAATTTTAATAAAAATAAATAAAAATGTGATAATATAAAAAAAAACAGAGACAGATATTGGGGTTCAAGCTGAAGATCAGAGAAGCAAAGCAGACAAACCAGTAGAGAGTTGTCGCCTTTACTCAGACCGAAGGGGCAAACCACTAAACCTCAGATTGCATCTTCAGCCTGCACTGCTTTCCACCAAGCCTCAGAATCCTACACTACTATTCTCTCTTTAATGTGGCTGGAGACTAAT